GTGTAGGCCTGTGCAGGGACAGAAACAGTGACACACGGGGGGTGTTTGAAGGCTGCCTAAAGGACTTCTCTAGTGAAGATCAGAGAAATTTGAGGCCCTTTCAGGTATGTTCCTACTCCAAATTTTTCCCTGCAGTGGGAAATGCAGGATTGTTTATGTGCTCAACATGTTGGTTGTTTTAATGTAAGACTGGTTTGGTTTGTCTTTTTTTTATTATTATTTTAATTTTATTTAGGCAGCCAAAAATAGGTCTGTATCAGCAAAGCTGAACTCATTTAATTCACAGAACCAGAGAATCATAGAATGGTTTGGGTTGGGAGGGACCTTAAACCACTTCCCATTCCACCCCCTGCCATGGGCAGGGACACCTTCCACTAGCCCAGGTTGCTCCAACCTGGTCCTGGGCACTTCCAGGGATGGGGCAGCCACAGCTTCTCTGGGCAACCTGTGCCAGGGCCTCCCCACCCTCCCAGGGAAGAATTTCTTCCTAATATCCAATCTAAACCTGCCCTCCTGCAGCTTAAGGCCACTCCCCCTTGTCCTGTTACTACATGTGCAAAGTCCCTCTCCAATAAGGTCCCTCTCCACGTGACACACCTTGTCATACGTTCCCTTCTTCAGGATCTTCTCTGGCTTGTTACAAGACTCTGGGCTTTTCCTTCCAGATGCCTGAGGGTAAAAAAAAACACCCCAAGATTAGGGACCAAAATCAGCTCAGACAGCAGGGTGGTGTCACGGCTTGGGCACAGAGCACTGAACAGGGAGAAATTACCTGTCTGAGGAGGACAGTGAAACTTTGGTTCAAGAGAGAACTAACAGTGCAGGAAGCAGGAGGGGTGGAAGGCAGGACTGTGTGGGGAGGTGGATGCCATACCTTGTTGTTTGCTGGGGGCAGTTTCTGCCCAGGGGGTGGCTCTCGGCTGGGCGGGCAGGAGTCGGCGCTGTTGTCACTGTCACTGTCACTGAGGCTCAGTCTGGAAAACCACCAGCAGAGAATGAGCACCCCCAGGGAACGGGAACCTCACCCAGCTGCCACCTCAACCCCACAGAGCTTCTCTATCCTTCTCTTATTATCATTCTTTATTATTCTCTACTTTATCACAGACTGCTCCATTGTCTGGGAGAATCAGTCACTCTGTGATTCCCAGAATCCCAGTTTTCCCAGCTGATGTCACCTCCCATTCCCTGGGCAGGCAGAGCAGGGAGTTTGTTACATTACAGCCAATAGTTCAACTCTGACATACACAGATTCCCTAGAACAATCGAGCACCACCTGATTTTCACAAACAGCAACTGCTCCTTTCAGGAATTCATCCCGAGATCACTCGGTACCTGCACAGGAGGCTCAGCAACACTGAGCACAAAAATGCCCTTAGTGGTGCTGGTGTGACCTTTGAGATTTCCCCTTTATTCTCATTCTTCCTGTGGCCCTACAGATGTACCAAGAAGGATGAAATTTAACAATTTGCAGGGACAGAAGAAGGAAACAGCTGTAGCTGAGTCCCAGAGGAGGGGAGTAGAACTGTCAGTACCACATGGAGGGCACAGACTGACTCCTCTGCTGTGTCTGTCACCAGCAGCCACAGCAGCACACACTTGTCTAATCCCTGCAGATCAAAGGTGTCACACTCCATTCAGCTCAGCAGAGATCTGAGGGGCACAATTAGGTGACTGAAGGGATTCACTCACCAGCAGCTGCCAGCCCAGCCCAGCCCAGCACTTCCCAGTGCCTTCCCCTCTTTGAGCTCCTCACCCCACTCAGTTCTCACCAACCCTGTGTCCCCACCCCGTGCTAAGTGACCACACATCTGCCCTCCCTCCCTCCCCTCTCACACACAGCCCCATCCCTTTGATTCCTCCCTCCAAAAACACCAAACACAAGAGGGCAAAAGAGCCAAACAAACATCTTTCTTCCGGATTTGTTACCACCTGGAATCCCGGCTGACGGGGTTTGCTTTGACTGCTGCCTCCTCCCCGGAGGAACTGTCGTCATCATCCGACTCCTCCGACTGCAGATCCTCCACCATGGAGCGCAGGGGGCCTGGGGGCAACAGGGGAGACAGGAATTCAGCACATGGATAATTGCTTGGATACATCCCGATTTCCCAGGGAGATGTCCCTGGTTTCACTGCTTTGCACAAAGCTGTGGGTGAAGGACACCAACAGAGAGCTGAGAAACTTTACAGCTCCCTCCCCCCAAATCCTCCCACTCCCTTCCCAAATGAAAACAAAAGGACACTTTTTTTTTTTTTTTTCATGTGTTTGGGGCTGATTTAAATGCCACTTGAGACAGTATTTGTGGCAACAGAGCTTTTGCTACAGTTAGAACAGTTACTATTGCCACAATTTATCTCTCTGGGTTATCACTGGAGGAATCTGAGAATGGAGCTGTTCCACCCTTGCAAAGTGATGAATGGCACATTTATAATTTTTAATAAAACATAGATGAGGTTGGAGAACGGTTCTGGTGACTTTACAGATCAGGCAGAAGCAACACATTTATAAACCGAGGCAGAAACCAAAGCCAACAGGGAAAGAACCAAATCCTCAGGGACTCCCTACTCATAAATTAGCTGCCAAAAGAAGAAAAATACTCGCTCATGATTATGTTGTGACATTATTGCCTTTTCTTGCTGAAGCATCGCAGCTCCAACACATGGCTGCATGCAAGGAACTGTGTGAACCTTACAGAGAGCACTGGGAAAGCAGATTTAATTCTCTTGAGCCTTTTCAGGTTATGCAAGGGAGGTTTTTAACAAATTGTTATTTCTTGCAACACACCTTGACTGTGGTTCTGAGATGGCTCGAAATCAGAGTCAGAGCTGGAGTCGGAGCTGGAGCTGGAGTTGGAAGGGCTGGACTGGACAGACTTAACCCCCCATAAAAGGGAAAAAAAAGAAAAAGAATCTTAATCTTTCTAATCCAGAAAAAAACAGAGCACAAAGCACGGTGAGAACAGGAGAATTTGAGCACTCTACAACATCACACAGCACTGAATGCAGACTTTGGGATTACAGAAAACATACAAAGTGGGAGGGGGATCAAAACAACATTTATGAAAGTTTGGCAGGAGGCAGCTCAGCACTCCTGGGAGCAGCATCAAGGGCTCCCACCAAAACCCTGAGGGCCACCAAATACCCTCAAGCGATGAAATGCAGCAGCTGAAAAAATGTTTAAGTGAAAACCCCTTACTTTGAAGTGGGAAGATGACCAGCACACAACCCAGAACAGTCATCAAAGCCCTCTTAAAAAGTCTATTTATTGTACCCACCAACTTTCCTCTGAAGACCTTGGACTGGTCACTGAACATGGAGTCACAGCCATGGAATGGTTTGGGTTGGAAGGGACCTTAAAAATCATCTTATTCTACCCCCTGCCATGGGCAGGGACACCTTCCACTAGCCCAGGTGGCTCCAAGCCCTGTCCAACCTGGCCTTGGACACTTCAACCCAGTTGCTTTTACAGCAATTTCAAATTTGACTGTGAAAACGTAACAGTGACCAGCTAAATGAACCCTTGTAAACCCAACTCCTCTGCCAGCACCGCTCAGAAATGCCAGGAGCATCCTGTGCAGTAAGAGGAAGGAAAAGGAAAATGAACTATGGGTAACAGCAGCATCCAGACAGGGAGTTGGAGTGCTCCGTGTGCCGTTAATCATAAATCAAAATTAAATCACCGTTCAGTGACCACCTGCGCTACCTTGAGGGGCCGCCAGGGGACAGCAGAGGCCACGGCAACGCCTTCAGCCCCAAAACGGCTCTAAAATCCCTTAAAAGTATGGGGGGTTTTGGTACTTATCAGGTTCTAAAGATTCTCAACGTAATGTAATATCTTGCCTCTTTTTTTTTTTTTTAAAGTAATTCCATGGAAATCAGCGTTTCAATTTCACTGCTTCAATTCCCTGGAATCTGTTACTTCCACTACCAAATCCTGATTCCTGGAAGAATCACACGTTCTCACTAATCAGTCAGCTTTATCCCAGGAAAGGTTAATGCTATAAAGACAACGTCAAAGGTAGAAAGAGGCACATCAGCAGCTCCTGGGCATTAATAAGTGGAAGTGGCAGTAGGATTTTCTATCCCAATACCAGCCTTCCCTGTAATTTATCCCAGAATCATTTATGTCGGAAGAGAGCTCCAAGGTTACCCAGTCCCACCTGTGACTGATCCCTGCTGCCACACTATCACCCAAGTATTGGTAGGAGTTTCATTTAGTCCCCTGTAAGAAGAGGGGGAAATGTGCCAAAAAAGGGCATTACAACCCTTGGGAATGGTTCAGGAGCAAAGGAGAATAATTTAATAATTCCCATATCAGATCTACTGGCACATTGGTTGTTCAAAGAAATTACAATGTGAGAGTAGAAAGATCAGGTTGCCCAGAGCAGCTGTGGCTGCCCCTGAATCCCTGGAAGTGCCCAAGGCCAGGCTGGATGGGGCTTGGAGCAACCTGGACTAGTGGAAAGTGTCCCTGCCCACGGCAGGGAGTGGAATGGGATGAGTTTTAAGATCCCTCCCAACCCAAACCATCCTGGGCTTCTGTGAATATGTTCGAGCTAAGGCAGCACAGCTCCTGTGTCTGACCACAATCCCTCATTCCCGATAATCTGCAGGTCTTCCCTTAAAATGACTTCACGGGATGCACGAAGCAGAAGTTGGAAGTTTTAAGGAACCTGTTTCTCCTTTTTGCCTTTAACCCCATGAGCTCTTTCAGGTACAGGGGAGGATCCAGCTGGACATGCTCAGTGTGCTGCGACTGTCACCGGGATGTGACAAAAGCACCCGCCGACAATGGGAAAAAAAAGCAATCCTGCCTCACATCCCAGCCTCTCCCTTTTGTCAGCGTTCAGGCAGCCAAGCAGGAGGCCAGCTCAGGGAACTGGACTTGATGGGGGAAGGAAAAAAAAACAGGGGGGGGGAGGGAAGAAGAGAAAGGACAAGTAAATGCTGAAAAAAGGCTGAAATGGCAGGAGAAATTCCTTTATCCCTCTGCACAGCCCGGAGCACAAATGGGAGCAAAGCTGTTCCTTAAGATGTCAACCCAGAGCCTCCGTGGAGCTGCAGCCTCGGAGGGTGTTGCACAATCCCTTGGCTGCAGCAGCAAAGCTGATTTAAGAGTTTCCGGGCCCTGCTCCACCTCCAGCTGCTCCTTTGCTTCAGCGGCTCCACACACGGCTCGGCTGTGCCAGGACAGACCACGGAGCAAAAACGGCAGCACCGGGAGCGAGGAGAACCCCCAGGGTGGGAAAGGAGCTCCAGGAGGCTGCTCTTACGCAGTTGTGCCCCCAGGCTTCAGTTCCACAGAATCCCAAGCAGCTCTGACTGGCAGTTGACTCCAAGCATTCCTGCCCTCCTGAGCCGGGCCAGCACTCCAGTCCCTCTGTCCAGCATCCAACAGGAGCTGGTGCAGAGGGAGGACATGGAGGCACAGGGAGCTCAGGGGGCCAGGACAGGGCTGTGGACCCAGAGCCACTTGCTGTGGTTTCCTGGGACACTCTGAGCAGCACTATCAGCTTTCAGCTGCCCGGGATCACGAGGGGATGGATGACACCTAAGGAATAATGAAGCACAGGACGCTCAGGGATCAGGGCCCTGTATCTGCAACCGGAACAAGGGGTTTGCACTTCAGGTACAAAGCTAAAAGTGGAGAGGAGCTGCCTCTTCTAATTCCCAACCTACACATTTCATCCATCTGGGAAATAAAATCCTAAATTCCCACCGTGGTTTGGGTTAAAAGGGACTTTCAGGCTCATCTCGTTCCACCCCCTGCCATGAGCAGGGGCACCTCCCACCAGACCAGGTCGCTCCAAGCCCAACCTGGCCTGGAACACTTCCAGGGCTGTTATTTGTCTGCAGAATAACTGGAATGAACACTTTCCCAATAAACTCTTCTACTGGGAAGCCTGCAGAAAAAAAACCCCCTCCTGATATAAACACATCAACACTTGCTGCATCTCAGTGCTGATTAAATCCTAATACAAATTGTCCCTACAAGATTTATGCCAGTAAAGCAAACCTTTCCAAAAGTGGTCAGGAGGAAGCAGTTCCAAAATTCCAGTGACATTATCCTGTGAATCCTATTACAAGATACATGGTTTCTTTGTAGCAAATATTAAATATACAAGAAAAAGGAGTTTGGATTTAAGTTGTGTCTTTCCCCTCCTACTTTTTTTTTTTTTGCCTTCTTTTGGAAAATATTTTTTAGAAGACAGAGGATGAGGAATGTTCTCAGTTGTAAAAAGGAAAAAAATATTTAGACAGCTTTTAAAAATAGTAGCACAAGAACATAATTTGTTTTATGTTTTACAACACAATTTATTTAGGTTTGGTGGCATGTGGTTGTATTTTGAGCTTCAGCCAATAGCACATTTCTTACAGGCCATGTCAGGAAGAAGGGTTTTATTTACATTTTAGTACTGCTGGGTACAAAAATGAAATGATTTCCTCCTTTTCTGAATTAAGACCACATTCAAAAACATTATGTTATCAGAAGCAGGTAGAAAGCCTCCATGTCTACTGTAGCTCTGTAAATGTCACTGCAAGGGATGAATGAGGGGTGAACCTTAAACTCTGACTTTTAGGTAATTTTGCCTGCAGATAAATCTAAATAAAAGCATGTACCTGAAACAGGAGGTAAACCAGGTAGGGGGAATGATTAATACTGACAGGATTCTGCAGAGGGAGTTTGATTTGAGGTATAACCCAGCCTAAGCATTTCCCAACCTGCTCCTCTACCTCCTCTGAGAGAATATTTTTACCATCCCTTTCAGGCAGGGATTTGATGAACAGCACCTTCCCAAATTCTGCCAAAGGACAAATCCCTCCTCACCTCTGACTTGAAAGAAGTTTCATCCTCTGAATTCGACTCCTCCATTTCCACGGGCTTTTTGATCTCCTTGGCCTCGCTCTCGGATTTTACCTTCTCCACTTTGGCATTCATCTTCTCCTTGGTTTGCTTCTTCTCCGGATATGAGGAAGACGAGGTTCTGGGAGACGTCCCCAGGATGTTCTTCACCCCTTTGGAGCTACTCTTTTTTTGTTTTTTGGCACTAGGCTTTGGTGACTCCACGTTGGAGGGCCTCTTGCTGGAAGACTTCAACTCCGGCTGCGGCCCCCCCTTCGGAGAAGTGTTCTCCAGTTTGGTCTCCTTCACGGCCAGTTTTGGTTCCTTGAAAGCAGCTTTTGGAGGTGCCTTCTCCTCCTTAGGCAGTTT